TTATCATGTTTCTCTATTATTAGATAGGATATGCCAAATATACTCATTAAAAAGATACTAAATTAATACCTTCTCATTTAAATATTTGTAAATGTCTCAAAATTATTTCTTGATAGGACTATGCAATCCCTTGCTACCTTTCAATAGATGTGAATGTTCCTGCAGATACTACAGAATTCACAGAATCCCCTTAGGAAAGTTAATAGCAAGACTCATAATATAGTACCAAGGGGGTGCAAGAGATCTCACAGTATTTTGGGTCCTGCATTACTCATTTCTCTTTAGATAGATAGATAGATAGATAGATAGATAGATAGATAGATAGATGATAGATATTTTTCCAAGAAGGCAACATTTTTAGAGTTGCAAACTTATGATCAAACTTTCATATTGCCCTATTCTCTAACATCTTTTCTTCTGCTGATGTCTTGGCTATTTCCACTTTAATCACTTCTCTAAGAAGTATTGCCTTGGTTTTCAAATAATCTTTTAATTCTATTTAATTAAACTCTATTCAATTCTTTAATTCTACTGTGTGTTGTCTTTGCATAAAGTTCATTCAGGTGAATAGTATGCAAAGCAAGGTGTTGAAAACATTATATTTCAGGGGTCTATTCATATCTTAATCCAGGCCAACTTGCAAAGGTGAATGAGATAGGGTGGCTAGAGAGGAGATGGGCTCACACTTGGAGATTAACAGTGATGTCCCAGCACAAAGCATTAATGAGTTCTGAGAAGAGCCAATTGCTGCAGAAAAGCTCTCAAATTGCCTAGGAAATTTTGCACCCAATATGTACCACACTTGAGCTCTGTAAACATGACTATACTCAATCTTTTAAAAAAATCTTGGAGGCTTTCCAGATGTGGAACCTGAAGCTTAGAAATTTCCCAAAGCCATACAGAGTGGGGCAAAAGTAGGTTTACAGTTGTGAGTATATAAAACAGTTTATTCTTGTATTACTATTTATTAATTACTGTGTTATTTTCCACACAAACAACTGTAAACCTACTTTTGCTCTACCCTGTATAATGAGTAAGTGATGGAACAGGGTCTTGAACTCATCATGTCGAGCTGTCTTCTCCAGGACCATCTAACTGTCATTCTAAATTGTCTGCCTGATCCACATATACTTAGATTTCCCTTCTTGGCCTCTTTGTTCAGCCTGGACATGCACCCTTGCTTGCTGACTGGTATCTTTGAAATCATTTTCACAATCCTCTCTCATCAGTAATTATGCCCTGCACCCCAGCCCTCTGCTCTGAAGTTTTCACCCTGCTTAATAAAGGTGGAAAAGGGGAAGGTAGTTATGAATGAGAAGCAAAGATCTGAGTTAAAACATCAAAAATTAGGGCCTAGTGTATGCGTTAAGAATTTAAGACACATCTCCATTATATGTATGTGTGTGCTCTTGCTTATATAACCATATTCCAAACCTGCTAAATTGTGTGCTTGTCAATGGCAGGGGTTATATTAACTCACTAGAGGCCTGGTACACGAAATTTGTGTAGTCGGGGGTGGAGGGTCCCCTCAGCCCAGATTACGAGAGGGCGCAGGCCAGACCTAGGGACCCCACTGGTGCACAGTCGGGGTTGGGGAGGGATGTGGGAGGTTGGCCAGCCAGAGAGGGATCACGGGAGGGCTCCAGGGCATGTACAGCCCATCACGCTCAGTCCCAATCAGCCGGACCCCAGCAGCAAGCTAACCTACTAGTTGGAGCACCTGCCTCTGGTGGTCAGTGCACATCATAGTGAGTGGTTGAGTGTCCTTAGCATGTCATTAGCATATTACTCTTTGATTGGTTGAAAGGACGACCAGACACTTAGCATATTAGGCTTTTATTATATTGGATAGCTTTATTCCTACCTAAATGTTAGAATATATGTTGATAAAGCAGGAGTTGAATATTCAGTCACTATTTAATGAGCATCTATTTTGTGTTGAAAACTGTCATATGCACATTTCAAAACTACCTGTATTTGTAATATACATACACATATACATTGTATTTTGATTTTTGTGTGGTATTCTACATTTGAAATAGCACTATGGATTATATACATACCTAAAAGTTGCATAAATTAGTTGATACATGCAAAGTTTTAATTACTTTTCTACTAAAATATCTATAGTATTGAGATTATTCAATCTTTTTACTTAATCCAAATTTAAATATATTAGTGATTTTATTCAAATGTTTAAATATAAGTGGGTTCTTTTCCAGACATCAGTAGTTTTTTAATTAAAGTTATCAGGTTAATTGGTTAATAAGATTATATAGGTTTCAAATGTATAATTCTGTGATACCTGAGCTTTATATTGCATTGTATAGTTTTATTGAAGAACAAAATAAAATAAAAGTAAGGATAAAGGTGTTCATGCCAATCAACACAGTATATTAGTTTTATAAATATCAACTTTCATTTTGTGGGTTGACAAATGTAAACATAGTACTATATTAAGCTATTGTTTACTCAGTTAGTTATAACCTTCATTTTCACTAGCAGTAAGATAATAAAGCATACACTATAGCATAGTTATGTTAATCACACCTGCAGGACATATAGAGGCACTACTTAGTGTATTTGATTTTACATGTTAGAATTAGTTTATGAAATCTTGTTTCTGGACGCCCTCTGAATCTTAACTAAAGTATTTCCAGGGCTGAATAAATATTGATGTTAAATATGTAGTGATCATTGTAAACTGCCAGTCAAGGTGTGCATAACCTTATACATAAGAAGACAGATAAATAGGTGTAAGAAAAAGTCCCACACTCTCAAAATCTCTCCCAAATTCAGACAATCAGCTATTTCAATATTTGAATGAATAAGTAAGCAGCATTGGGAGATTGGAGATTGGTAGGTAGAAAAGTTGAAGTATCAAATGTATAATAGTCTCTTTATATCTTAGTTTTTCTTTTTTCTAACCCAGGATCCAATCAAGGATTATGCACTGCATTTGGTTATCAGATCTCTTAAGTCTCATATAATCTAAAGGTCCCCTCCTACCTTGTTCTGTCTTTTATGATATTGGCATTTTGAAGAGTCCAGGCCAGTTGTCTTATAGAATATTGCACATTGTAGATTTTTCTTGTTGTTTCTTCATTATTTCAAGTTCAAACTAAGCATTTTGGTAAGAATACCATATAGGAGATGTGTATTTCTCATTGTAACACATCAGGAGGCACTAAATGTCAGTCCCATTATGGAGAAGCTAAGTTTAATCGCTTGGTTAAGGTCATGTTTTCCAGACTGTTTGTTATAGTATAAAGGTCATCTTTTTCCCTTATAACTAATAATAAATAATTTGGGGGGGGGGATAATTTGAGACAATATGAATACCTTCCTGCCTTATAACCTTTCCTTGATGGTTTTAGTATCCATTAAGTTTCCCTACCAATATTAATTATTATGTCTATTATCCTTGCTGATTTTATTAGCTTGGATATATACTGAGTGGCCAGATTATTATGACCACCTGACGTTTGTAGGCAAATTAGCCATACACTGCATCGTATGGGATATGGAAGCTGAAGGCCTGTTCGAACACCTTTGCTGTCTGCAGTTACCAAGATAAAA